CCCCATGCTCCTATTTTGTGGGTTGGGTACAGCTGCAGTTTGTGAATGTTGTAGAAATGTTTCTATGGCAGCTTGAATTCTGTATTTTATAGCCATTTGAAGCAGGAGGTACAAGATTTATAAACCTACAATTATCGAGTATTATGGCAGGGGAGTAGATTTTCTCACATTTAGTGCTTGTAGTTACACAGCTTTCCACACCTGGCAATATTGGCCTCACTGATTTATATTTGAGCACAGTCACAGGGCAAATAGGAGACTAACCAAGACCTTGCCATCTATTGGGCAAAGCTGTTCTGCAATCACACTATGTGCATTTGACTTCTTAACACACAAATGCATGTAAATGCGATTTGATGCTAGGATTTGGTACCAGATGCATCCATATGCATGTAAACACATGTCAGACAACACATCTAGAAGCATACACAGAATCTAGCCTGACAGACTTTTCTCTGCATATAGAGCACAAAAACACAAGTGTGAATGTAGCCTTCATATATGTTTTTAAAGCCACTAGTGGCAATCAACGCCATGGACGTGGCACTACTTACAATCCTCTATGGAGGAGGGAAGCGGTACAGCTATGCTGTTAGGAAGAGAGGAGTGACGGATGGGCTAATTTAGTCTAATGCCCAATCACAGGCTGGGGTTTAGGAACAAGGCATAGTGCTATTACCTGCAGTTGAGAAGTTGGGTCTCTAGGCTTGGTGTGCTAATGTGGAAGAGCTGTGTAAATCTCAAATGAATAGACTGAGGTACAAATCCAAAGACCGGTAAAACGCTTCTCGTATATACATCTGTGAATTTGGTGGTTTGCTTTAAATCCCTGCTCATTGCTTGTGGTATGACCATAGAGGAACAGAGATCACTGTACACAATCTTCAATCCAGCGTTTTATTGTAGCAACAAAATGTGTGGAGATGTTACCATGGGAAGCACGTGTGTTTTTTGATGTGGGGGGTTTTTCTGTCATAGGTTTACTTGGGGACTCCTCTACTCATTGTGCTGCTAAAATAAAGGTAAGTTGGGCTAAAGATTGTGTGGTGATGCCTTACCTAGCACTGTATGCCATGTTCAAAGTAGGCTTTGTCCTTTACCAATTAGATATTTGGTGCCTGGAGTGGTAATACAAGTCTGCCAGCTCTGACCTGGTCTGTCACTCATTGGGGGGTTTTCTTTTTGTTCGGAGGACACCAAGCTAGAAAGTGAGGGGAAATCTAAAATGTTACAGCTGTCTTTTAAAATAGAAGTTGATGGCAATCTGCCAATGGGGACACCTGCTTTGAGTTTTGTGAGGTAGGGGCTCTTCTCTGCAGTCTTCTGTACAGGAAATGAGGAAAAATCTCCTCAGTGGGGACAGACTGCGATAAAAAACCATACTGGAATCTTGTATAACTTCTTTTTCAGGCTAAAGCTTTTCTGTTATAATTTTATAGCTGTGTTTATTCTAAAAACCAGGTCTCAAGTTTTGAAACAAGTGCATTTGTTTCCGTTTTAGGATGGAGTCAATTGGTTGGCCTTCTTGAACAAGTATAAATTACACGGTATCCTGTGTGATGATATGGGACTCGGGAAGACCCTACAGTCTATATGTATTCTAGCAGGGGACCATTGTAACCGGTATGGCATTAACACTTGTGTACTAGTATGTAGGTTAGGTTTTCAGTTTATGTGCTTGATGTTGAAGAGCTGTGTTTTTTCCTGTGACAGATCTCAGGAGTATAATAGAAACAAGTCTGCAGACTGCATGCCTCTTCCATCTCTGGTGGTGTGCCCACCAACGCTGACAGGCCACTGGGTGGATGAAGTTGGAAAGTTTTGCCCTAAAGAGTATCTCAACACTTTACATTATACTGGACCACCCACAGAGCGGGCCAGGCAAGTATGACAAACTAATCACTTAGATCAGAGCAGGACAGGCAAATATACCGCACTAGTCCTCTCAGATCAGAGCAGGACAGGCAAATATGCCGCACTAGTCCTCTCAGATCAGAGCAGGACAGGCAAATATACCGCACTAGTCCTCACTCAGATCAGAGCAGGACAGGCAAGTATACCACACTAGTCCTCACTCAGATCAGGACAGGCAAATATACCACACTACTCCTCACTCAGAGCAGGGCAGGCAAATATACCACACTAGTCCTCACTCAGAGCAGGACAGGCAAATATACCACACTAGTCCTCACTCGAATCAGAGCAGGGCAGGCAAATATACCGCACTAGTCCTCACTCGGATCAGAGCAGGGCAGGCAAATATACCACACTAGTCCTCACTCAGATCAGAGCAGGACAGACAAGTATACCACACTACTCCTCACTCAGATCAGGACAGGCAAATATACCGCACTAGTCCTCACTCGGATCAGAGCAGGACAGGCAAATATACCGCACTAGTCCTCACTCGGATCAGAGCAGGACAGGCAAATATACCGCACTAGTCCTCACTCAGATCAGAGCAGGACAGGCAAATATACCGCACTAGTCCTCACTCAGATCAGAGCAGGACAGGCAAATATACCGCACTAGTCCTCACTCAGATCAGAGCAGGACAGGCAAGTATACCACACTAGTCCTCACTCAGATCAGGACAGGCAAATATACCACACTACTCCTCACTCAGAGCAGGGCAGGCAAATATACCACACTAGTCCTCACTCAGAGCAGGACAGGCAAATATACCACACTAGTCCTCACTCGAATCAGAGCAGGGCAGGCAAATATACCGCACTAGTCCTCACTCGGATCAGAGCAGGGCAGGCAAATATACCACACTAGTCCTCACTCAGATCAGAGCAGGACAGGCAAGTATACCACACTACTCCTCACTCAGATCAGGACAGGCAAATATACCGCACTAGTCCTCACTCGGATCAGAGCAGGACAGGCAAATATACCGCACTAGTCCGCACTCAGATCAGAGCAGGACAGGCAAATATACCGCACTAGTCCTCACTCAGATCAGAGCAGGACAGGCAAATATACCGCACTACTCCTCACTCGGATCAGAGCAGGACAGGCAAGCATACCACCACCACTCCTCACTCAGGACAGGCAAGTACACCACACTACTCCTCAATCAGGTCAGAGCGGGACAATCAAGTATACCGCACTTATCACTGAATACTGCCATGTATAATATATCCAAGATTATCAGGTTGCAGAAGGTATAGACATTTAGAACTTGGGGGGAATGTTTTAAATGCATTCCTTGCAGTTCTAATCCATTATGCCTTCATTAAGGTGAAATTGTCAGTAAAGTAGAAGTTTAGACCACTTTGGTGCAGCATCTTGTATAGCGAAGACTGTTATCCATATGAAATGGCCCATGTGTTCATGTATGTAGCTGGGACTGGTGTTCAGGCCTTTGTGCGTCTATCGTCTGATCCATGCGTTTGATATTTTTATGTAGTTAAGAGTGATATGTTTTGTGTTGCAGGTTACAGCACCAGGTTAAAAGACACAATCTAATTGTGGCTTCGTATGATGTTGTGAGGAATGATATTGACTTCTTCAGGTATTGTATAATAACAAATGCATAAGGGTCTCCATGCTGTCCTAGTTCTCCTTGTAAATGTATCATTGTTTCTTGGTGTGTTTCTTTTACCTGTTCATCTGATAACTTGACCTAGAGATCCAATCTTTGCCGTCTTGTTCTTATTCTTCTAGTTCAGTGCCATCTGATATCATCCACTTGTTCCTTTTTAAAGAGGAAATCCAGCTTGTGCTAGTTGGCTTGCAAATAAACATTCTAGGGCTAGTATATGCATACAAAGTTAAATAAGCTAAGCTTTGAGGATATATTGATGAAATGTGTACCATTTGATCCAAGTCATCCACTGCTATCCATTTGTATGATGTGTTCTGACATGACGAAAGGCATTCATTGTATTGTAGGGGGCAAACCTATTGTTGCGGTATTATTATATAGGATATATAGAGCGCCAACAGTTTGCGCAGCGCTTTACAATATAAGGAAGACATTACAATACAATACAAGACAGTAAGGAGGGCCCTGCCCGTGACGGCTTACAATCTAAAAGGGAGGGGGAAGTGATGCATGAGGAGGTAGCTGTGTGGGGATGAATTGTTTGAGAACGTGATAGTTCAGTGGTTAGGTTGAGGTGGGATAGGCTTCCCTGAAGATAGGAGTCTTAAGGGATCGCCTAAAGGCAGTCAAGGTGGGAGATAGTATTAGGACTGTCATAATGATTGGGTAATCCTGAAATGAAAACTACCAAAATGCTGTGGTTCAAACCACTCACCCCTCGTACCTGCAAGAGTCTATAAATACTGGGGAAGGGTTTGTCGCAGTGATGACCCCATAGAACATCAATTTGACCAACTCTAGAAAAGTTTACTCTTGGTTGATACCTGCGCAATACTAGGCTCTCTAAACCATATGACATCTGTGCCTGGTTGGCTGCTCGAGTGAAACAAATGGCAAGCGCACTCATTAATTCATAACTAGCTTTAAAGTAAGGTGGACGGGTTTTATACAGTACAAAAACAGACCTTTTCCCAGCACACACCAGCCAGCCTGGAGAAACTTCCACATATTTTGCAAATGATTGGCTGCTCAGACACCAAACTACATGTTGAAGGAAAGCGGGAATGTTGTATTTGGTACTCTGTATGTGGAAGTACCAGGCTGTTTAAAAGGGGCTGCAGGAGCCAGGAACAGACAAGGCACTCAAGGGTTCCCAGTAAGTGTGTGGGGGACGTTTGTTTTGTTTTTTTTACTTTCCTTTTGAAATGCATGAGGAGGTGTTGAATCCTTTTGTCAGATACCTGTTGTGTGCTTTCTTTTTTGGCTGATGCCACTGCATTCCTGTTGTGTTGGCACAACAGGAAACGAAGAGGCATCTGCTCAATTGAGGCAAGGAAGCAAAATAAAATCTGACACGGGTTTTAACCTTACCTTTTTTTTCTATCCATAACAAAGTTAAGCTGGAGGATTTCTACTTGAAGTTGGACAAATGTGGAGGTAGTATTTCAGAAAGCATTGGTGCTCATGATGGAACACCTACTTAAAGTTGTCATTAAATAGGGCGCCTCATCTAGGTATGTTGGAGCCCATTTTAGTGAACCTGTTTGGCTTGGATTTTTAAAGAACTCCAGGCAAATTACAAATTAACCCTTGCAGTGGGGCTACACCAAAAAAAATACATTCCCCTGATGCCTTGAGGTTAGTGACCTCTCACCTCTTCCTCCTCCTCCACTATGACTGTGAAATGTCTAATGCAAGTCAGTAGAGGATATTAGCGGGACTTAGACTTCTGGAGCCCGGGGAAAGTCTGCTGGGACAGTATCAGCCTGGCGTGATTGAGGATTGGGTGAGTATTTTTTTTTTTCTAATTTAAAGCCCCACTGCAAGGGTCAACATGTAATTTGCCTGGGATTCTTCTGTAAATTCATGTGCTGTATTTACTTTATGACGGTGAGAATGAACTGTGCTTATTCCTATAATACCAAGTAGCTAATAACTGTACTCCACCTTTTGTGAAGTCCTTTACTACTTCCGGCTTCTCGCATTAAATCCTTCACCCCTGTCTTTTTATTGTCACTATTGAAGTTCTAATATCTGGCGCCTTATATATTGTAACAACTTTCTTTCAGAAATATGAGGTTTAATTACTGTATATTGGATGAAGGTCATGTTATCAAAAATGGAAAGACAAAACTGTCCAAAGCTGTAAAACAGATAACGGCAAATTTCAGAATTATCCTTTCTGGAACTCCGATACAGGTATGTAATAAGTGGCCTAGGATGGAGTTTACAGTTTCCGTAAATATTGGGCCTCACCAGTTTCCCAGTTGGTTTTGACCAGTGTTTCTAAGACCAAACCACAGCAAAAATGTTTTGAGTTTTTGTTGGGCTTGGAAGGGTCAGAACCTCCGTCAGGTTCTTTTATTGCTATATGTAAACAGTCCATACTGCAGTTCCACAATCACAGTGCATGACTTACAGTGGTACTGTGTAGAATGTACAGACTTTAAGAACCATATCTGACATTGTTGCCTTTTTTTTTTGTTTTCCCAGAACAATGTTTTGGAGTTGTGGTCCTTGTTTGACTTCCTCATGCCTGGTTTTCTAGGCACAGAAAGGCAATTTGCTGCTCGATATGGGAAGCCTATATTGGCTAGCAGGGATGCTCGGAGCTCGTCTCGTGAACAGGAAGCTGGTAAGAGTAATTGATTTATTTTAAGTCTTTGGTATGCAGCAGCTCCTTTATTAGCCAGTTATTCTTATACAGTTGGAAAACATTACTTATTTTTATGCCCTTTGCCTAAAGCAAACCTCTACTACTAATATATTGTGATCAAACAGTGACTCTGTAAAAGCAACACTATAAGGTACCAGTATACAAGCATTTTCCCCACTCCAGCTGTTCAGAGTACAATTGAGAGGGGAGAATGTGCTCCATCGTATACAAATTACCAACTTGTAGAAATTCTGTATTTTTCTAGGATATAGTGGCACCTAATGGGGCTGATGGTATGGTGCCCACTGTGTGCAGTCACTGTTGGTTTACAGGTTATTTCAAGTTCACACATGTACTTGAGGCCCATGTTTTGTCTTCAACAGAACACATTATCACTGTCATTTAAATCCACAGGTGTTCTTGCGATGGAGGCGTTACATCGTCAGGTTCTGCCATTTTTACTCCGCCGAATGAAAGAGGATGTATTGCAAGACCTTCCACCTAAGATTATCCAAGACTATTACTGCACTTTGAGTTCATTACAGGTGCGTGGTATCTTCTCTGCTGCTGGTTTTAGTTGTGTGTTGGCAGAAGTAAAAACTAAAGGGGAATGCAGTGTAAGAGGCTTGTTTCCAAAAAGTGTGACGTACCTGAAATGAGGCCACAAAC